TCAATCTTTTTTTTTTTTAAATCAAGGCCTTAATTGGCACTAAAATTATTTAAATATGTTTATCAAAGTATTTATAATTCTTTAATAAAAAATGCTTATAAAAACAATTTTGTCAGATATATTATATCGCTCCAGGCGGAGAAAAAGCTAGAGGATATATATGTGTGTGTGTGTGTGTGTGTTTACATACATACAGGAGTCATGGAACTGTGCTTACAGCTCCTTCATATTTCATGTACACTAATAACTTGTGTACATGGTTCTTGTTGATGGCATTAAAATCATTTCTAATAGCATTAAAATAGCATTAAATTAGAGTCACTCATTCCTGTATGAACCCTGTGAGCACTTAATTTAATATGACATATTAAAAAAATCCCACCATCATCCAGCATATGTTCAGTTTCTGCCCAAATATATATATATTTTTTTGTAGATTTTTGTAACGGGGATAGGGATAATTCAAAACTGCTTTTTTTCAATGAACTTGTTCTCTACTCCCAAACTCAGCATCTCTTTTCATTCCTGTAATAAGAAGTTTCTTTTGAATGGATTTGATTAAAGTTTAAGTCCCTCGGTATAAAATAAATATTTTGATGGAGATGAGAAATCTGCTTAGTTTGGATCCAATCATTTAAATAAACGGTGTTATTATTATTATTTTTTTATATATATATATAAGAATTGTGCTATAATTTCTAGTCACCGATCTGTTGCTGCTATATTTCAATTTGACGAACCGGAATTTGTCGATGTTCTTTTTCCTGTTTGGTGTGATTGCAATTGCGGATCTTGACCTGGCCGGACCTTATGACCACAGTGTACCAATCTTCTGATGGCTACTTCCAACAGGATAATGCGCCATGTTATAAAGTGAATCATCTCAGACTCATTTCTTGAAACTTTTCCACTTAATTAATTGTGAATTGAGCATATTGACAGACAACATTTTATTTTTTATCTTAAATGCAGTTTTTTTTTTATAATTACTGCTCTAAATGTATTGCTCTGTCAGCTAAAGATCTGTTTTGGTCTCTATACTTTAATTAAATAAATCAATTCAAGCTAAAATGTAAGAGGCTATACTGAGCCTGATCTCTTTGTATCAGAGATTTTCTTACCTTTTAGAAAAATGTCACTTGGAGTAAAACCCCCCCTGCAACCCTGATTTGCATTTGTATAGCTCACAGCATGTTCATTTACATGTTAAAGCCTCCCCTAGAATTCCATGGGGGGGAGACATGGGGGGAACACTGCCTAAGAAAGTCCACGTCAATTTCTGACAATTTACGGGAGTTTTCGGCGAAGCCTGCAAATTGCCGTAAACTGCCGCTAACCTGAAGTTCCACGACAATCTACAGTGCCGCATATTGACGAAAATCCCACTGTTCATGCAATGCTTATGTGTGTCTCTGTTATTCGCAGATTTTGTGGTTCTGTTGGCTTCATCAGGGTGTGATTTACAGCTCTCACTGAAGTGAAGTGCCAGGGATGAGGATTAGTGCTTCTAAATCTGAGACCATGGTCTTGAGCCGGAAAAGGGTAGAATGCCTTCTCCAGGTTGGGGAGGATGTACTGCCCCTAGTGGAGGAGTTTAAGTATCTTGGGGTCTTGTTCACGAATGAGGGGAAGATGGAGCACGAGATCAATAAGTGGATTGATGAGGTGTCTGCTGTGAAGCGGGCCCTGTACCGGTCTGTTTTGGTGAAGAGAGAGCTGAGCCAAAAAGCAAAGCTCTCAATTTACCCGTCGACCTATGTTCCTACCCTCATCTATGGTCATGAGCTTTGGGTCATGCCCGAAAGAAAGAAATCTCAGACACAAGCGATTGAAATGAGTTTTCTCTGTAGTGTGTCTGGGCTGTCCCTTAGAGATAGGGTGAGGAGCTCAGTCATCTGGGAGGACTCTGAGTAGAGCCGCTGCTCCTCCACATCGAGATGAGCCAGTTGAGGTGGCCCGGGCATCTGATTAGGATGCCTCCTGGACGTCTCCCTGGTAAGGTGTTCCAGGCACATCCAACTGGGAGGAGGCCCAGTGGGAGACCCAGGACACGCTGGAGGGACTATGTTTCTTGGCTGGCCTGGGAGTGCCTTGGGATTCCCCCGGAGGAGCTGGCCGAAGTGGCTGGGGAGAGGGACGTCTGGGCCTCCCTACTGAAGCTGCTCCCCCCCCAAACCCGACCCAGGATAAGCGGACGATGGATGGATGGATGGATGGATGGATGGATGGATGGATGGATGGATGGATGGATGGATGGATGGTCATGGTACGGAATTGTGCTAAGTAAATACACTTGCTGTGTCTTACAAAGAGCGAAGAATTTAAAGTATAATACAAATGAATACAAAAAGTATGGATTTTAAACATACTTCCGGTAGAAAAAAAAAAGAGGTTTAAATGTTCATACTATAATCGTTATGGTTAACAGTGAAACTGGTGATTTTATTCCAACGATGACATTCATAATGTACTGTTGGTGCTTTAGCTAATATCGTTCAAAACTTTTTAGATTACTATTGGTTTATTGCATTGTTAATTTTACAAACTTAGCTTTCTGCTCTGGGTTATACAGTTCAAATGTTACATGCAAGTAATTGCTTCAGGAAAAGGGAAAATGTTATGTCCTGTAATAGCATGAAAAGTACAGAAGGAGAATACGAGAGTAAAGAGATAACTGAAGCTGAGCTACATCTGATGCTACTTATTTTCAACCCCTTCAATATAGCAAAAACACAACAGTTCCACATTTATTTTGATTCCTAATCTTTTTCCTTTGAATATTATGTGTTTTAATTGGTTCAGATATATTTTGATACAAATTAGCTCTCAACTGCAATTATTTTCCCCACCTTTGTTTGATCTTAGTTTCTGTTGTCATCATAATGTCTCTCCTCTTTTTTAATTTCTTCTCACCTCCTCAAGAATTCTTCATATCCTCAAGAAGTTAAAACCAAATTAAAATCCCATATATAATTTGTCTTCTTTCTTGTACTTTATGTGATTTTCTCATCCATTCTACAGAGGCCTTGCAGTGCCACTTCACCTGGGATCTAGAACCTACCAAATCCCAACTAAAATATTCAGGTATTCACTGGAGGACATCGGCACAGATGAGGGAAACGTCTGGCTGGGTCACATCTCCAAACTGCAGGGATTCATTCACTTTAAGCTGGGCTCCTCTGACAAAGCCCTGACCATCTTCCGACGAGCCAGTGAGACCTTCCAACGTCTTAAAAACTCTGATGACGATCCCTGGTTGATGTTGAACTTTGGGAATCTGGCTTGGCTGAACCATCTTATGGGTGAAGATAAGAAGAGTCATGATTACCTGTCAAAGGTTGAAGCTCTAATGAGAGAATACTCAGCTCTACCTGAGGAAGACCTCCACCCAGAGGTCTGTGCTGAGACGGCCTGGACCCTGATGAAGTTCGACAAAGAGAAGCAGCTGCAGGCTGCAGAGCTCTTCCAGAGAGCCGTGACGATGCAGCCAGGAATGTCAGACCAGCTGGGCAAAATTATTTGCAGAGACAACATCGAATGTCTCCGGACCTTTACTGGTTGATTATTGTCTTTATTCAGACCCCGCTGGTTTTCAATTGGTTACCCCTGGTTTAATGTTTATAAATATTTATTTCACGTCATGTGCGCCATCCAATGCAGATCATTGGCACCATCCACATGTAGTGAAAACTAGTGTAATTGGATGAGTCATATAACGCAAACACTCATTGGTTAGCTAAAGGAAATCATCAGAAGCAAGCAGGTGTTCTTCAAAATGCAAACCTGAATTGTCTATGCCATGCTACAATGTAGGATTCAGAAAAAGATGTTGTAGTGTCTGAAAGGTCAGACACAGGTGAGAGCGTATCGGGAGATGGAGACCAACAACACCTCCCTCCTCCTTGGCCCTATCTCAAAGAATTTTTCGAAATAGTCGATAAATTGAGCTTTCAATTCATATAGTGGCATCTGGCTTTTTCTTTTTAAAGGTTACTTTATACTTTTATACTTTAAGTAGTTTTTGGAGCACATACTTTTTCAAATGTGTGTACTTTTGACACCACTGAAGGTCATAAAGGTTTCTTCAGAAAAATATCTTTGTAGTCTGAAAGAAATTTAATGTTTCAATTTAATATAAGGGATTTAAGCTGTTTGATCATTTGTTTTATCATCCAGTTCTAATCTGAGGAAGAATGTTGCTCAGAAGGTGTACGAAGAGAAATTAAAACATCTTCAAGTTTTTACAGAATTTATTCCATTCATGTTTAACAAAGTAATTTATATCAGCCCAAATTACAGAGGAAGTCTTCACCTTCTTTGTCTTAGGCCTGCCCTCTGTCTTCTTAGCTTTGGAAACAGCAAAATGGCCCACATCTACTAGAAGATTTCCAATTTATCCAAAAATGCAACATCCAGTCAGCACGTACCTCTTCCAAAGTCTCCAGCTGCATCATGCCTTCTCACCCAGACCATAGCATTACCTAGTAAGGTGATGGTAGACCTTCTCAGATCATCATAGATCAAGCGTTAGAATGTCCCTTTGGCTGACTTGCTACCATACACACACATGATCAGTAACAGAAAATGATGAAATAAAAAAAAAATAATCTTCAACAAAGCATACCACTAGAATTCTTCCAAATTACCCCTAGATTTTTTAAATGAAGCAGAAAAACAAACAGCTTTATTTTAACTGATGAGCTGCAGAATTTCGCTGTTTCCAGGTAAAGCTCAGCAATAAATGTCATGTGACACCATAACATTTATTTTCCACACTCATAAAGGTGTAAAACCCTTAATAAGCATAACCATATAACCTTTGGGCCTCCATACTGTCGGTTTATGGCCAGAATCCATCTCAGTGACGTTTTGACCTCCTCCAGGAAATCAAAATGTTTCTGTGAGTTTCTATTTCATAGGAAATTAAAGCATAAACCTTCAGCTTGAGATAATTATTACCAGTACATTGATTACATATCTTTATGGTGCTGCACCTTAAAGATGAGAGAATAAATAAGAGCAGAACCTGAGAAGCTTTTATTCACCAGAGACACCAAACAGCTGGAAGATGAGGTGAGTCACTCTTTCTGCTGATTTTATATGCACAGGTTTTCAGTTAGTCAAGATTTAACAGTAATCTGTTCACAGAGTTAATATCAAACTAAAACTGGAGCAGTTTCTGTTTAAAGCTCCTTTAAAAACATCCATCTGCTCATCATTCTGATGTTGATCATTTTCCAGACAGAAATGTCTGACTTAACCTACACCAATGATGGATCGTTATGTAGTTACTGCTCTGACTTTATATTATTCAATATTTAATCAAACAACTTTTGTACTGTCATAGTTTATGTTGTCCTGTGAACACACACCCAACTAGCTGTGTTTGGACAAGTGTGATTCGACCTCAAATTATGGTCAAGCAGATAACTGTGCACAGATTTGGAATACATTGAAAACAACCTCCATTCAAAATATAAACATTTATTATCAAAAATAAATAACTCAACTCCAGGTCTAACATATTTTAGTTAAAAACTGATGAAATCAAAATAAACCAAGTAGCTACTATGTTCACATAGAAGAAAAACGCAAATAAAAATACTAATATGGATAAAATGATGCAATGATATCTCAGTTCAGCAGGAAATTTGTGTTTGAGGGTTAAAGTTTAACTTAAAGAGATTGGAATGAGGTCAAATTAGCTTTAAATCTAATTTAGAGCAACTTTAGTTTTCAAACCAATTTACAAAGCAAATCCAAAAGGTAAATAAATCATTGTCTGGTAAATAATATTTCATAAAATGTTTCTTTAATTAAAGATCAACATCCATTGAGATAATTGATCTCATAATTATGTGATGGTTTAAGGGAGAACAAACATGGGTAAGAAACTCAGTGAAAGAGGGTTTAGCCTCTGGTTAACTGGCATTTAGTCAGCAGCATGTGGTTGCGATTAGCTTTGCTGTTCACCTTTGGAACACAGTATAACATTTGAAATAACCATAAATAAAGAAAATGCAAAATCCAAAATGTTTAGCTGAAAATGCTGTATTTCTCCAGACCGCTACCTAGTTGAATGATGAAGAGTCTTCAGTGATGCTTTGGGCAGCTGGTGATTTCATAGGGTTGGTGGGATGCTTGGTTCTTTTGGATGATTGAGGGTTCCTTAGTCTCTCTCTGACTTTTGGCTGAAAGGTACTTCTGTGAACTTGATGAGAGAATTTTGCACACAGTCTGTTCAAAGCAACCTGGTTCTGCAAGTATTTTGCAGGTCTGCTGAACTTGACTTAACCTTCTGAAGAGTGAAATCCTTCAGCCTGCAGTGAAAGCCAATCGCATATCTGATAATGCAGCCTGGGCAAGGTCCACAAGAAGAGAGTGAGAGGTGGGATCTCAAGCCTTTATAGCAAGCACAGTAGAAGGCCTCATACTGTAGAGGCCTTTCCTATTAGGTGGCTACTGCCTCGCCCTACCTACTTCTCACTTCAATTGTGTGAACCTGCAGAGGGTCGGCCATATTAAACCCCATCTTAAAGCAATAAGGTATGAGTGTGAGTAGTTTATGAGGCCTTCAACAGATACAGAGGACCTGTTTCCCTCTTATGCAGCAGGTGCAGCACTAAATTGTGCATGGAGAAGGGGATATAACTTCTGCATATGAGTTTTATACATTCACTGAGAAAAAAACAGTACAAAAAACAAATGCAATAGAAAATGCAGCCATTTAAAATAAAAGCCAAAACTGACAGTCAAAAAAAATAAATGCTATGAAAAATTGATGCTGCAAAAAAAAAAAAAAAAATCTATAGGAAATGTCTTTTTTCTGCTCCTACACCTGCCTTTGAAACACTAAATATCGATGAAGCAGCTGGACCTGCTTTCAGGTTTCATAAGTCGCTTAGCAGTTGCTATTTACATTTGTTCATCAGAATGTTTGATGATCCTGAAGGCACACGCAGAAGAAAGTTTGAGCACATAAATCAGTTTGGACATTATATGTGGTTTGGGTGAAAATACATTTAGATGTCTTGTAATACACCAAAAAAACCTTTTAAAGATCAGTTCAGAAGTTTTTCCATGAGGGCCAGAGCTCCTTCTTTCACCAGTTTGCTGTTTCTCCTGGTTTAGACTGAAACCTAGAAAATAAAAAACCCTCCTTCTCCTTACAGCTTTGTTCCACTCTGTGTTGGTTTGTCAAGTGAAATACACAGAAAATGTTAATTATTTCGCTTTCAACATGAGTCTAGAGTTGGTGAGGATTTTTTGTTTTGGCACATTTTACAGTCAGAATCAACCTTTGTTTTGATTCTGAAAGACTTTTCAGCCAAAGCACAATTTTATCTGATTGCCGATTTCAAATATCATGACATCAGCGGATTGTACAGAAAACCTCCTAATCATAAAACCATGTGACTAAAAACCTGGAGCAGGACAGACATTCTCACAGGATCAGAGCTTCAGATGCTGGAAATGAGAGAAATAACCAAAAGCTACAATAATAATAAAAAAATGGATGTTCCAGGAACAATGAAACAGATGTTTTTACTACTTTTTTCTTCTTTCTTTTTCTGTTACCCAAAATATGTGACATTTCTGCTGCTGCAGGTTAATATCTGTCATGTTTATTGTCTCATCAGTTCTGCTCAGAGTCTGGAGAACAAACTGGAGGCCCTTCAGTGCCATTTCACCTGGAACCTCGATCCTGGAAGTCACAGACTTACTGTTATACAGAAGATTGTAGAGGACTTCGGCACAGAAGAGGGAAACATTTGGCTGGGTCACATCTACAACCTGCAGGGATTCATCCAGTCCAAGATAGGCTCCTCTGAAGAGGCCCTGAAGTTCTTCAGCCGAGCCACTGAGACCTTCAAACGTCTTAAAAACTCTGATGAAGGTCCCTGGTTGATGGTGAACTTTGGGAATCTGGCTTGGCTGCACCATCATATGGGTGAAGATGAGAAGAGTCAGAATTACCTGTCAAAGGGTGAAGCTATGATGAGTAAATACCCGGCTCCACCTGAGCAAGACCTCCACCCAGAGGTCTGTGCTGAGAAGGCCTGGACCCTGATGAGGTTTGACGAAGAAGAAGCTGCCAAGCTCTTCCAGACAGCCATAGAAATGCAGCCAAATAACATAGAATGGCAGAGCAGCTGGGCCATATTATCAGCGGACACCTTCAGAAAGAGCAGGAACAGAATGAGTCCTGATGTCCTGGAGAAACTGAGATCTGCCACAGAAAATGATCCAGAAAACCTATATGTTGCTGCTCTTTATTTGGAGGCACAAGCTTTACAAATCCAGCATGAAGTTCGAGAATTGGCTGAAAAGGTCCTGGAGAGGTCTACAAGCCGTTACAATGGCATCACCCCACTACTACGTCTCTACAGAGAGTATATATCTAAAGATGAAGCTGTTGAGTTAGCTGAGCAGGCCTTGAAGAGACATCCTGACTCACGTGTTTTAAAGAGATGTGCAGCTATCTGCTACGTGAAGAAGATTTTTCCTCCAGACTTCAAACCCAATACTCCAAGAACAATCCATCGAGCCATCACTCTCTGGGAGAAAATGTTGGATCACTATGGGGAATCTAAACTTCAAGAACAAATAACTCTAGCTGATTTATATGGAAAGGTGAATACAGAGAAAGCTGACCACATTTACAGAGAGCTGCTGGACAGAGAAAATCTGGATTCAGCAGAGATACAAATGCTTTACCACTTTTATGCTAAATATTTATTTTTCAATAAAAAAAATAGTCACAGGTCTATTGAGTACCACATGAAGGCAGCAAAGATTCCAGAAGAATCCAGTTATCGACAGACGAGCATCAATGAGCTGGAGAAGACCTTGGAAAGAAACAAAAATCCATCAAAGAGCTGGAAAGGAACTCAGACAGACCCAGAATTGATTAATAAGATCACGGAGCTTCTGACCAGCCTGAAAAATCAGCCTGAAACACAGAATCAGTGAATAATAGAAAAGCAATCTGAGAGCGCAAACCTCTGCCAAGCAGCAAATTTTGCAACCAATTGTGACCTACACCTATAGCTAAAACTTGCACATGATCTGGATCATATAAAATCCATTCATAGGTTTTCAATTGATCCTGCTAACAAACTTTTCTTTTGTTTTTGTCTTTAGTTAAATACCTCCAGACATTTTGAGTCTGATGCTGAGGCTGACAACAGTCACTGCTGCCACCCTCTTGATTAGTGGGGAACTGCTTGTCCCTCCAAATATCCCACAATGTTAGATAATCTTTAAGAAAATTCCTGTATGCAGAGTATGACGTGGATCATCGCCAGAATGTAATGGATTAATAATTGGCATAAAGGACACCTCTGAGAGAAATTTCATTAAAATCCACCTATAACATATTAAGTTATTTTGTATACAGACAGACTGACAGACAGACAAACCCTCTTAAAAACATAACCTCCTTGGCAGAGGGAATTTAGGAAATCACAACCTGCAGGTATATCTGCAGCCAGATATAGTTCTGCAGAGTTCTGACTCAGGCTTTCTGAATACTAAGATCCATTAATTGAATAAGAATACAATTAAAAAGTTCACTGTAATCAAAAAGTTATTTTAATCATAAAAACAGACTTCCTCAAAATGCAGAATCCAACTTACTAAATAAGGCTGTAGATGCTCATCATAGCTTCACAATTATTTGTTTAATATGTTGAAATTCATTAATCATTTTCTTTAACTCATACTTCAGCAGCATTTTATTTTTTTTTATCTGAAATCCCAATCAAGTAAAACCAGGAAATAATCTGTTAATGAGAACAATATGAATGAAAATTTAGTAAAGTGAAACTTGAAGCAAATTCACAGAAATTGAGAAAAATAATAGAAATCAGCAGAATATAATATTGAGCGAGGAGCCATCCTGAAGACAGTTGTCACAGATTTACTTCCATATGCAGAGGATGTCTCTTGTAGTGAAATTAAATTTTAAAGAGTTGAAATCTACTTTTTTTCTTGCCTGTTTAAAGCTCTCTGTGCTTTTGGTGCTTTTCCTCCTCACTTTAAACCAGAGGTTCTCAATCCTGGTCCTCAAATAGGCTACCACTGCCCTGCATGTTTTAGATTTCTCCTCTCTGTCACCCGATTTATATAAATGAATGATTAACAGGCTTCTACAGCACTTGTAGGCTGCTGAGGAGGTCATGCAATTATTTGTATCAGGTGTGCTGCAACAGAGAGACACTGGCTGCATTCAAATTTATGGGCTGTGTCTTCCAAGAACGCACCCTCCCTGGACTGGATCCTTCGAAGTCTGCGAAAATAAGGAGACTGGAAGAGTTTTGCCTGTGAATTCAACAATTTCTTGCCTTTCGCAGCTTTCACCGCCATTCGCTTTGTCGCCTAGCAACCGTGACATTTGACTCACAAAGCAGGAAAAGTATGAATAAGGAACTTTTCAAAACTGTTTCTTTTTTATTTTTTTATTGTAAAGTGAACAAAGACTACACTCATGGTAGCATGAACAAATAAAAGCAAATGTAATGTTAGAAAAGGGGTAGAAAGATATAAGAAAATTTAAACAATGGATGTATAAAAAATATATATGCAAAATATGTTATATTCAACAACAAAAATACTTAGTTAAGCAAATTGTGCAAAATAGCAATAAAAAAAGGTCCCCCAACACTGCAGATATATTAAAATCTGTCCTTAAGTTACAGTCTAACCCATTTACACAGTAACAGATAAAAACCGCTCGGAAAAAGAAACATTACCCACCACATATCTGACTCAATAACCATTTCAAAAACAATTTTCATGAATTTCAGACGGGACTTTTCATATACTTGTATTTAATTAAACTGCACTTCAAATATTCACCACTGTTATGTGGCAGGTACGGTTGTCCTCTGATCACGGAGCAGCCGCCTTGCTTGGTCTCACAATGAATCATGGGATATCCAAGGTTACGTAGGCTACACTGGACCCATCCTTAACGGGCAAAAAGAAGGATGCATTTGTCATCTGCATAAAGAGAAGTCTTGGAATCCGAACAGACCTTGGCGCGACACTAGGACATAATCAGCCTACGAATCTGGCCTTCAGAGGACGCAGCCCCTGAATTCGAATTCAGCCATTTAAAACATGAAGGGCAGTGATATTATTAGATTTGAGACCTAATGCTTTAAACTATAACATTGCACCAGTTGTTGAGTCAATAATAATGGTAGCTTATCCTCTGGGGTTGTTCCAAGGAACCTGCAACTCTAAAATCACGAAAAACGTAGTTTACAAGCAATTAATGTCTTTATTTGAACAACTTGACATTTTAGAAATACGTCAATCTAGTTTTAAGGGTTTGCATCGTAAAGTATGCCCTTCTAAGAGTTTTCAATGATGTGCTCCTAGCAAAGACTCCATCAACCTTCTTGATTATTGTGCTCCTTGATCTATTTGGCATAATAGACCATGCAATTTCAATCTCCCGTTTAGAACAATGTGTAGGTGTTAAAAGTAGTGCACTGCTTAGCTTAGTTATTTGACTGACTAAATTTTCTTTGTCAAAGTGGGTGATTTAGAATCATCCTCTGACTCTTTTGCGGGGTCCCACAGGGCTCATTGATGGGCCCTCTTGTTTTCTCAATCTACTACTTGGCTCTACTGTAGGTTTAGGAAACAAGCAGTTTACATTTACTGTTTTGCAGAGGATTCCTGAATTTATCTCCTCCTTAAAAAGGACCACTCACTAGATCATCTACTTAAATGTCTTCATGATAAAAAGGCAACAAAGCAAAGGGAAAGTGCATGAATATGTGTTAAGTTGAAAATGGAGAATTAAAAAAATGAATGCTATTTGATACCAATTATAGTGAAAGACTACATAAAATACAAAGAAGCACTCAAACCAGTGGATATGCTTATAAATAGTTATATAAAACAATAAACAATTGTATCACTAAGAATGAATTGGTGCTAAATAAAACTTGAATAAATTGTGTTTCAAGGATAAATGATTAGAATACTTATTAAACATAAATGTTTAAGGCTCATCGTTAGCTAAGGTGTGTTTAGTAAAGGCAAATATACATACAAATCATGGTTTGAATTATTATTGTAAAACTAATGTAATTTAACAATAAAAATTTAATAAAAGAAAATTATCTCCAAGGTCCCTGAATTCTTGAGTGTTTTATCTCTCCACAGAAACATCACAGAGGAATAAACAACATGCAACATTCAATTTAATTCAGTTCTCATACTTGTAGCCATTTGCAAGTCATCTTACTGATTCATTCAGGACCTGATAGGGACCAGCAGTCTCAGCAAAGACTTCAAGTGTCACGCTCTACAGGCACGAATGGACAAAACAGAGCAGTTGGCACAGTTAGATTGTTTATTTTACTCTTGGTCAGGCAGGCAAGGGTCAGATCCGTGAAACCAGTCAGAGTTTTGGGAAAATCCTTGAATCAGTGGTTGGGCAGGCAGGAGGTCGTCACCAGGGAGTCCAAGATAACTGACGAGGGTGAGGGTCCAGATAATCAGACGAGACACTGGGGGAAGAAAACAGGCAGGTTCAGGAGAGGGAACAAACTTGGCTTAATCAAAACTAGACTTGAGCAGAAAGATGGCCTGAGAGTGTTTACCACTAGGGGTTAGACAACAATCTGACGGCAAGCAGGTGGAGGTCAGTCCTTATATTGGGTCCACTGCTGATCAGGGAATGACCTGCAGGTGTGAGAGTCACAGCAGCTGATGAGACTCCAAGACTACCCTCTCCCCAGACACTGAATACAGCTCTGCTGTGGGCAGTGAGAGACACAGTTTCTCCATCACATCCTGGCTCTATGGAGTCAGGATTCTGCGAAAAGTCCCCACACACAATATTCCTACGAGCATCCTTACTTCATACAGACACTCATAAACTACTCCTCACGCACATGCTTAACATTTTACATTATTTGCCTTAATATCTGATCTTAAAAATTATATAACTCTAGCTAATTTATATGCAAAGATGGATAAAGAGAAAGCTGACCAGATTTACAGAGAGATGCTGAATAGAAAAGACCTGGTTTTAGAAAAGAACTGCTTTACAACTGTCATGCTAAATATTTATTCTACAATAGAAATGATTCCAGGTCTATTGAGTACCACATGATGGCGGCAAATATTTCAGTAGAATCAAAGTATTGACAGACAAGCATCAAGGAGCTGGAGCAGACCTTGAAAATGTCATGATGGGTTTGGTTCCTAGCCCATATGCAGAAACACTTGGAAACAGGATAAAAACTTCAAAGGTTTATTGAATAAACAGGTCAGGTGGTTATCAGATTCAGGACTGGTCACGACTGGTTTCTCTGTTCAGAGATTCAGGCTGAGCGGCAGAGGAGGGGAACCAGGAGGGTCCAGAGGCTGAAGGCAGGCAGAGGCAGGGCAGAGCAGTTACTCTTACTGAGCAGGTTCAGAGCTTCTCTCACAGCTCTTACTGAGAGCGGGCAGGCAGGTTTCAGACTGAGTTGGATTTCCAGGGTTCTCCTGAGAACGGACTGCTTGGTTTCTCGCTTGAGAAAGTCTTCCAGGTTTCAGGTTTCCAGGCAGGTTCTTCCTGAGAAGCAGAGAGGAGAAAAAAACAGATTAGGTTCAGATTCAGGCTTCAGGGAAGTCAGAGATTCAGACAGGCTGGTCGGCTAAGGTTTGCTAACTATAACTGGCTTAACACTCTGGCGTCGGAGTGTTGCTCTGCCCCTCCTTAAATGCCGGTCTCCTGATGAGCTCACGAGCCGCAGGTGTGGTAGTCAGCTCCAGGAGACCTAGAACGCCCTCTGCTGGAGAAAGGTGGACAGACCTCCAGATCCCAACAGAAAAGAAGCAAAGACCCTAAAATGCGTGAAAAAATCAGAGATTCTGACCAAAGAAAGAATCAGTGAATATTAAAAAGAACTCAAAAAAAGATTCTACAGAGTTCTGGTTCTGCAGAGTTCTGCCCCAGGCTAATTCATTATAAAGACCTGTTTATTACATCAGAATATAATTAAAAGTAAGTTCATAGCTGGTTTTTAAGGATTTTTTTTCCAAAAGTAATTTTTTTGTAAAGAAAACACAATGTAATTTACTGAATAAGGATGTAGATGCTAACCACACTTTTTAGATAATTTAAGATGTTAAAATTCATTCAGCATTATAATTGAATTCATTATTCTTAATCACTTTTATTTATTTAATAACATGATTGAAAGTTTAATCAGATCATTTTTTATATAAATTCAGAAATGGATTAATGGGGGAACATTAGTGAACATGGCTTATGACCTTAAGTTTAGCTTAGGAATAGTCAATGTTTGTTAAATTATATTAAAGCTGTTTCTACCTTTCTGTTTTTTCATAAAGAAAACAGAACTATTCCCTTAAAAATATAA